TGCTCATCAGAAGTATAATTGGGGGCGGGGGGGGGTGAGGGCATGCGCCAGGGGGTAGTGGGGGAGACCAGGGGAAGGTCAATGGGGAAAAAAAGGAGACATATGTACTACTATTTGTAATACTTTAAACAATAAAATAAAATAAAATAAAATAAAAAAAACTATAAGGTCTTGGGGGAACTGTCCAACATTCATTTCAGTATAGTTAACCACTTCCATGATCTACATATAAAAGGATCTATGTGCATGCTGGTATTACAATCTTAGAAAATTTCTTATTTTATTTTAGTGTTAAATACCAAGATAACAGAAGTACTTGATATTATAATTATAGCCATGTAACATAAAAATTACTAAAGCCATTATATTTTATCTAAAATAGTAGCAAAATGACATAGCCTACCTGTTGTACATTTTAATTCTACCATTTGAATGTATCTTTCTTCCGTTTTTCAACCATGACATTTTGGGTGAGGGGATTCCTTCTGCCTGACATACAAATCGAGCAGTGCCAGCTCGCGGCCTTGTTAAACTTTCTGGCCATTCGACAAATAAAGGAGGAGCTGTTTAAAAAAAGAAAAAGAAAAAAGAAAGAAAAATATATTTCTGAGATCCCAATAGGGAATGATACAAAAAGTCAAGGAAGAGTAGAGAAAATGACGAAGTCCCTCCCCTGAAAATATGTGACATTGTGAGCCTCCAGTCTACGCTCTACATGTATCTATCCAGATGCCTTTTCCATGCATTGCTCAGGGAGATGTCCACTTCACCCAGGCTTTCCTTATTGAGACCATCTATATAAACACTCTAAAAATATATGTACCATAATCTTATTTAACTAAGCCCAATACATAGCCTCTTGTGAATCCATATAGACAATCAACAGATTACAGTTTTAGATTGGTGAATGGGTATATGGATTTGTGGGTGGGTGAGGAGAAAAAAGGGAAGCTTAAGTAAGAAGGAATATATTGGTATACAGGTAGGCAGAAGAGTGACTTGAGAATAACAGTTATATTTTAACATAGGACTTTAATTTTCTCCTAAAAATTATCATTAGATTAAGAAACTTCAGCTCAACCTTCATACTGGTAATACAAAATTCAAGAAAGGTGGAAGTAAGCTATGAAGGAGATAAAACAGCAAATGTGAAAATGTAAGATTCTCTAGAATACAGAAAAAAAAGAAAACATACCTAATACAGTTAAAGTTGCCATGGCAACTGTGAAGTTTCGTGTGCCTGGGATAGTGGCCCGACAAACATATATACCAGCATGTTGCAGCTTGACATCAGATATCATGAGGTTACCATTTCCAAGTACCCGAGTATTAAAGACATCAATGGACTTGTGATCTATTTCAGAGAGAACACTTCAGTTAAAAAAATGTAAAACAGAATCAAAAATTAGTTCCAGCCCTAACCGGTTTGGCTCAGTGGATAGAGCGTCGGCCTACAGACTCAAGGGTCCCGGGTTTGATTCAGGTCAAGGGCATGTACCGTGGCTGCGGGCACATCCCCAGTGGGGGGCGTGCAGGAGGCAGCTGATCGATGCTTCTCTCTCATCGATGTTTCTAGCAGCTGGTCGATGTTTCTCTCTCATCGATGTTTCTAACTCTCTATCTCTCTCCCTTCCTCTCTATAAAAAATCAATAAAATATATATTTAAAAAAAAATTAGTTCCAAAGATCATTCTCCAAACAATCCTTATCATAAAAAGTATAAAATTCTCTACACTAAAACCATTTCTCTGTACACTAACGTGCCAAAGAGTTAAAAACCACCTAATTGCCAAACGTGTTTTGTTATATTTTATCAGTTTCACTATAATGAACAAAATTTAAAGAAAACCCCCTCAACCCCTGAAAACATACCAAGACGGCTCCAAGAAATGATTGGTTTGGGACTTCCTGTGGCCATGCATTCCAAAACAACAGTCTGATGGAGAGATGTGGTTATGTTCTGTGGACCTGCTATAATGGTTGGTGTGTAGAAAGATTTAGACTCCTTAGCTTTGGAGAGAAAAAGGCAGAATATAAAAAATAAATTGTAAGTGAAAATATCTATTGTAAGTCATTCAGTTTTTTCTTTTTTTTAAACTCACATAACATACAATTCACCTATTTGAAGTATAATTCAATGGTTTTTAGCATTTTCAGAGTTGTGCACCCATCACCAAATCAATTTTAAAACATTTTCATTACCCCCAAAAGAAACCCCATACCCATTAACAGTCACTCTCCAAGTTCCTCTTCCCATAGCCCGGCAACCACACTAAGCTACTTTCTGTTTTCTATCTCTCTGGATTTATCTATTCTAGACATTTCTTTAAAAAAAGAACCGTACATTACATGGTCCTTCCTTTGTGACTGGCTTCTTTTAACAGCATGTTTTCAAGATTCATCCGTGTTGTAGCAGTGCCAGTACTTCATATCTTTTTATTAAACAATAACAGAATGATTATATAAATAGAACACATTTTATTTATCCATTCATCAGTTGATGGACATGAGTTGATTCCATATTATTCATTTTTAATTGAGGTTGAAAGATTCATTAAATACTTTCACTAATCTTTTTAAGAATTCATGTGACAATAGGAGGAAGGGAAGGAGGAGAGTGCTTTTGTTTCTATCTTTTATACCAGGAAGCTGATAGATGATACCTCAAATTAAAACAAAGCATTAAAAATATAATTTCAGTCTCTTCACGATTTTCAAAACAAATTTTTTACTTTACAGGGTCTTTTGAGAAGTAATAGCTCTTGTGAAGAGGAAACAATCAAGTGAAGGTTAACAGTGTCTTTGGTCCAAGTTTTCTTCCACTAAATTCCAGTAAATTTAATTATTTTAAAATAAAAATCAGCGTCTATGTATAACTCCATTTTAGTCCTATATGTATTTCTTCATATTAGTCTCAAGCTAATTTCCCTTTTAATTATATTCATGTATGGCAAAATGAAAAAATTTATGTTCATCTAATGTTAACAATAATACTTTCTGAGTATTGGAATTGGGAATATTTTAAAACTATATTATGTTTTTATACTTTTTAAAAATCTTCACCTGAGGACATGTCTTTTGATTTTGGAGAGAGAGGAAGGAGAGCAGGGGGAGAGAGAGACAGAGAGAGGCATCAATTGGTTGTTGCTTGTATGCACCCTGACTGGGAATTGAACCCACGACCCTATATATGTGCCCTGACTGGGAATCAAACCCTCAACCCTTTTGGTGGATGGGGTGATGTTATAAACAACTGAGCCACCAGGTCAGGATATATCTTTGTACTTTTTTTACTTTTATAAACATTATTCTTTACAATAAGCATGTATTTTTTCACAAATGCAAATTATGATTTTTCTTAAAATAACAAAAACAAAAAATACCAAACTGGAAACAAGTATCTCTTTATTGACAATGGACAATTCTGGTGGAAATGGGTAACTGTTATTTTCCTTTTTGTATTTCATATATATATATATATATGGGGTGCCAACCGGGGATGGGGCCGGTGAGGGGGGAGGGGCCATGGGTAGTTGGCGGGCTGGCCCCACCCCCTGGTGGAATTCCTGATTGAACTCCCGGTCAAGGGGACAATTTGCACATTAGCCTTTTATTATATAGGGCTAGAGTCCCAGTGCACAAAATTTGTACACTGGTAGGGTCCCTGGTGGCTGGTGGTGGCCTGTCGGGTACTCCCTCCCTTCCCCCAGTTGCTCTGCCCCCTGGTCGAACTCCCAGAAGAACTCCCGGTGGAGGGGACAATTTGCATACTACGCTTTTATTATATAGGATTTTTAAAAGTGAAATATTTACAAAAAATCCAATCCTTCTTAAAGATATTGACACTAACATGACATATAACAAGCTAGCCTATGAAAAAAGAGTTGTTTAATACATAAAAATGACCATTTTCCAAATAGATTACAGTATTTTAAATGAAACTAAAGTACTATTTGATGATATACTATTATAGCCAGAAAATAAAAATTAATAGTTGTGTCAATTAAAAACTAAAAACAGAACTTCTACGAGGTACCTGGAATCACTGTTAGAGAAGCCTCCATACTTTTACGCCTGTGGGCTACAGTAGCAGCAACACAACGATAATTTCCAGCATCCCTTGGGCCAACATCATAGATCTGCAATACCCCTGTTGGTAGGGCAGTTACCCTGCTATGAGAAGAAAGATGATTACACTCTCTGTAGTAGATTTTAACATATATTCTATGATAACATTTCACATATTCAACCCTTTAAAGTGGCAAATACATTACTTTACAGAACTTTTAATATATATTAGCTGATTCAATGATTTTCAAATGTGTCACCACAGTTCCCTAAAACATAACTAACTATGCAGTGTCTGGTTTGTGTACTTCAGTTGCAGGTTCCATCCCCAGCCCTGCTTGGGTGTGTGCAGGAGGCAACCAATCGATGTTTCTGTCTGTCCCCCATCCTCCTTCCCACTCTCTCTTAAAAAACCAAAGGTGGAAATATCCTCAGGTGAGGATTAACCAAGAAGTTGATTATTGACACCATCTATGAAAATGAGTTCCATAATGGTCTTTGTCCCATATAGTCTCATGAAAAGCTGTATTTACCTGTCCATAGTTACAGGTAGGGTTGTTCGATTTAATTCCCATGTTATAATTGCAGGAGGGTTTGATGAAATCTTGCATGCAAATCTAGCAATTCCACCTTCTTGGACCTCAGTAGAAACTGGCTGAACTTCAAATGCAGAAATAGCTATAAGAAAATTTGACAAATTCAGAATAGGTACATGAACTATTAGACTATACTTGGGAATAGCATTACGCTAGATATTATTTATCAGACTTGGACTCTTTCTCAGATGTTAAGATCATCCTGATGTAACCAACACAAAAATAATTTATAGAATAATTATTTAAGAAAACACTGAGCAGTTGCCCAAATCAAGGAGTCTTTCCCAGGATGAAATTCTAGCCAAGTTCTTAAGAAACTTACAGCCTGTGCAGAGGAAGAAAAATTAACATGACTGAAACAAAAACAAACAATTAATAAAAGTATTTAATTACATACCAAACTGTGGTAGAAACTTCAGACACTACTCTATTTCAGAGGAGAGGGAAATCAAGGCAGATTAGAGAAGTAAAAACCATTTACAGAGATTGGTTTTAAATTGAGTTGTGAATAATCTATTAGGTTTAGATAAAAAGGGGAAAATAGAAATAACATGAATGCAATAACAAAAGTGGAAGAAGATAGAAATAAAGCAGATTTGTAGCATGGTACAAAGTAAGACATCACTAAAGATTTTTGAGCAAAGAAATGTCATGATAGTAGTATTTGGAAAAAATAAGTCAGGCTCTGTTACACAGGATGGACTGAGAAACAGAAAGCCTTGAATCAAGACCAACAGGTTGTTTAAACAGGACGACAACGGGGTGGTGGCAGTGAGAAGGGCCAGGCTCTACAGACACCTTAATGAAAACAAGGACTTGGTTTTTTTGAATGCAGATATGTCACTCTGTGTTTGGAATCAAATGAGGGTGGTATTGATGTTGCAGAATAAAGAAGAGAAGACCAATGGTGTGCTGATGACCAAACGGTAGAGAGAGACTCAAGAGACTGTTTTTAGACTCACGCATTTCCAAACTAAAGCTAAATCTTGAAGTGTTGCCATTTTCAAGATAATTCTGTCCCATGTTAGGCAGGCCTCCAGGAATTGGTCGTCAGTGTCCCTGGTTTTACATTTTGACAGAGTCTAGACTCCAGGTAATAGTGAGGTTTTCCTTCCCTCTCTAAGTCTTCCAGGATATAAAGAAAGGGCCCTAATGATGGTCTTACTCCCCCTCCTCAGATTCCAGTTCAAAAAAATATATATATGCCTTTATGGTTTATCAATAAAGTGAGGAGTTATGAAGAAAAATAGAGAAACTATGGTCTAGATGACGTATGCTTCATTAGACTGGGAAGGGTAAAGGTCACAGAAGACTTACATTCTGCCTTAGACTTGATTTCATTAGTCTGTAAATGGATCACAGACCTTTAGAGGAATAGGACAAAGCCAGTGAATAATGACAAAAATATTCTTAAAAGCATCTACTGCCAAAAAGGGTGGAGTGGTGGTATATTAACTGTTTTGGTGCTGGTAACAAAATATTTCTGCTTCCTCAAGAGCAGGTCCCACAAGGTAGGAACCATTCTCATAATCACTGTCATGTTCTTGTTTCATTCTCATTTCTCTTGTGTGTACAGTGTTTTCCAGAAACTACATGGCAGGTGACATCACAACAGACTCAGTGCAGAAGCAGGTATGTGTAAGAATCCAGCTGTCTTCTAGTAAGCCAATTAGAGATTTGCACAAATGCAAAATGATGCCACTCTTTTCACTAAAATAATTTTGCTTTGGAAAATAGTTGTTTCATAAAATGTGTTATGTTAATATGTAATGAATCAATGTTTTCATTTTTTTTAATTAATCTGTATTTTATTACTTTCTTTATTTAAAGCAATTTTTAAGCCTTATCTGAGGATATGTATGTTTATTTTTTTATTTTAGAGTGGAAGGGAGAGAAATAGAGAGAAACATCGATGTGAGAGTGAAACATTGATCGGTTACCTCCCATATGTTCCCTGAATGGCAACCTGGGTATGTGACCTGATTGGGAATCGAATCCGTAACCTGAAGAATTCCCGGTCAGGGCACATACCCAGGTTAGCAGTTTGATTCTCAGTTGGGGTGCATACAGAGTCAACCAACTGATGTTTCTCTCTCTCCCTCTGCCTTCTTGTCTCTCTAAAACAAATGAAAATATATTCTCAGGTAAGGATTAGAAATTGTTTTAATTTCTAATAATAAGTATCAATAGATACAACCTACACAAATAAAAGCTCTTTGGGGTCCTCAATAAGTTTAAGAGTATAAAAAGTAAGACTAATATATTTGAGATCCCTATTCAAGAACATCAAACCTGAAAATCATTACAATTTTTCTTTTTAATTGCTTCTGTAATCATTTTCTAGGATGTTAATCTATTTACAAATATTTTTATTTTGAATCAAACCAATGCCTTATCTAATAAATAATTAGAGAATAGATGGTTATATTTATGTCCAAAATATCAGTTTCACATTCATAATGCCCTGATTTCTTAATAACAATGTAAGCTTATCTATTCTATATAATAAAGAGGTAATATGCAAATTAACCCTCACGCCGTAACACCGTCACAAGATGGTAGCGTGCACAGCGGGGGCGGGGCTGGCAGCTGCTCCATGCAGCTTCCGCCAGGGTTCCTGTGGCCCCACGGGGCCGTGGGAGTCCCAGTGTCTGCTTTGTGCAGCTTCTGATGGGGTTTCCGCAGCCCCCCAAAACATTCATATTTTGAGGGAATGAGGACCTAAGTTTCCATAAATTTAATGCCTGCTTTATGAAGTACTAATTTCTCTTATTGGTTTTCCATGTGTAATAGGGTGACTTTTAGTTCTGGCCATCACTGACAATCCAGTCCAGTGATGGCAAACCTATGACACGCGTGTCAGAGGTGACACACGAACTCATTTTTTTGGGTTGATTTTTCTTTGTTAAATGGCATTTAAATATATAAAATAAATATCAAAAATATAAATCTTTGGGGAGAAACTAAGATGGCGGCAGAGATAAACACCGGGAAATTAACGCCGCACACAACAATTGATTAATACCTCAGAGAAACAATACGGACTTCACCCAGAACCACAGGAAGCCTGGCTGACTGTAAACTCTACAACTAGAAGGAAGGAAAGGCACACTGAGACCCACAGAAGCTGCAGGAGAGAAGCACAGAGGTACGGGGCTCACCCGGGGCTCGCGCGCGCGGAAAGGGACTGGGAC